TCCAGTTGAAGAAGAGAAAGCTCTGGCAATTTAGGAAATCATTTTGTCTAATCCTTTAATTTCAGCAAGGAAAGGGTGTGGACAAAAAGAGGTCAAGCAATTTACCTGAGGGGACATAGCCAGTGGTATCTTGCTTTTCAGGGCAGCCTTTTTAGGATACATATTATGCTGCCTCTTGTCATAGAGCAACTACCCCTTCTACACACAAACCCATGCACTCATGCACGCGTGCACGCGCACACACACACACACACACACGCCCATTTCCTAGATCATGGCAATTGCTTCTGTGTATTCACGATTTCTGCTTTTAGGCACCAGATCTACATAATGGTGTTTACTTCATAATTTGGGGCAAATAGGGATAAGGTCTCTGGCTCAGCTTCAGTATAGTACTTAGTGAAGCCAGGTGTTTTGTTGATCTTTTGTGCCCATAGGAGAAAAAAGTCAATGGTAGGGCCTTTGTTTGAATGATAGCTGGGACTTTGATCTATCTGTATCTTCCAAGTCATCCTGCACTGTTCACATGGAGACATTTGACACTTTGCTCTTGAGCCCCAGTTCTTTCCAAAGAAAGACCTTTTCCTGGCTAACCTTTATCAGCTTGGCTTTTCAGGTTGTTACCTGAGAACTTCACATCTTATACTCAATCTGTTTCAGCAGTTGTTTTACTCAGTGGCTGTCATTCTTTTCCCTTTCTGCTTTGAAGTTCCTAAACACTACAGGCACCTTATTCCCAGGTGCACTCCTCCTTTCCTGGGAGCTGCAGCCCATTTCCTCTTCTAGTCACAGAAATTAGACAAGCCATCCGTATAATATTCAAGTCCCTTTCCTGGATTTTTGACTCTATGCAACTAGATTTCTCTCAGAAGGCTAAAGCTGTGAGATTGAAAGTGTGTGAGCTTCTTACAACCAAATTTTCTGCAGAGAAAGACAAGCAGAAGCCAACTGAGAAGAAATGAGGCTGGCACTCAGCAGCGAGAGATGGAGAAAATGAGACTGACTGACTGCACCAGGGCTCTGCTTCCAGGTGTTCCTGAGGTTTAGAGACACTCTAGCCTTCTTGTCCCTTTAGGTTGCTGAGCTCCTAAAAACTCCCCTTTTAGCTTTAAACCAAGTTAGTTTGGATTCCTATTATATGAAGTCAAATATTCTAATTAATAAATGACCCCTAATAGTCATTTTTGTTTACCATGTCTCCCCAGGTTTAGACAACCTGGTTTCTTAATCACTGTATACTTCCTGAATCTCAATTAGACCATTCCTTTTCAAGTAACAGGTGAGGGTGAAAGAATGGGATTTCCAGTACTCTTGTGTACTGAGATTTCAGCATCTTATATAGCTGATTGTTTTAATATTAAGCTTCACAGTGTGCATCTTATGCCTCTGTTTGCTTCTATGCTTGCCTCTGACTGTATTGCCTATTCCCCAGCTGAAAACTCTGCATGATTAAATCCTGTTCATCCTTCAAAGACACCTTTGATGTAACCTCCCATAGAGCCTTTCCTGCTCCAGGCTTCTCAATGAATCCCTCACTCCCTTTCTTCCTGCTCCCCAGGCTGCATCAAATTGTGGCTAATTGGTTACATGTCTGCATCATACTAAATTGAGAGTTTCATGAAGGTACAAACTATGTATTCTTCATTTATCTAAATCTGCTCCTGTCACAATAGCTGCCGCATAATAGGTGCTTAATAACTACTTGTTGAATCAAATGGAATTTGGGCAGATGAAGAAATCATATTCCCTTTCTGGGCCAAATAAGAAAAATGGTCCAAGATGGTCCCACTCCTATGGCTTAGGTAAGATGTCTTTAAGAAGGATAGGGAATCATCTGGTGTGACTAATGAGATAGCACCCACACATCACTCCTAATACATTTTGTTCACGATACTTAGTAAAGTCCAAATGCTGTTTACTAACTGAATTTGCAATCTCTGGTTCCGCTCAGGCACTCATTGTTGCATACAAAACAGAAAATAGATATGATTTATTTATGATCCTTGACTACATCCCAGGTGACGTTCTAAATGTTTACATTTTTCAGGGTTGGCTTTAGAGTCACTAAATGGTACAAGACCATAGAGGATGGGACAGTGTTTTCACTTCCAGGATCAAAGATAATTGTTTCATGGCCCAAGCCCTGAATATGTCTCCAGGTCTGACTCTGAAGCTTAAAGTTTGCATTGTTTAAGGCAGTGATTAAAATGACTCCTCTGGATGAACTACTCTTGGATCTCTTCCACAAACTGACCAGTGGGAGGCAGTTGGCAGCAGGCAATGGGCTTTGCAGTATATCACATAAGGAACAGGAGGTATGGAAGCCAGGTCATAATATTTTAGTGAAAATGAGAAAGGAAGATAAATCACTTGTGTGGCTTATAAATTCAATGCTTGCTAGCTACACACAAATTACCAACTTTTTAGGTAACCCTGGCCACTATTTTATCTCAATCCTATCTCAACTTGCTATCCAACCTTATTTGAGTCTTTCTCCTTCTCACCTGTAATTGCCAAGGGATTGGGAATGGAATATTGGGAAAATGAAACCCAGTATTACCTTGAGAAAAGAAGAGAAGGCATATCTTTTATAAAAATAAAAAGATAAATTTTAAAAGACTCTTGGAGTATCTGAGCATCAGCCATTCTTGAAGAACATGAATAATTGAGAGTTCACTGAATTTCAGACAGTCTGTTTCTATTGAACTTGAACTGTCCAGTTGGAAGCATAGTTGTACAAGGCACAATAAATATTCTGTATATAAAATAAATAAGAACACTGGATATTTTTGACACTTTTATAACAATAGTAACATAGCATTAAGTATAGCAGTTAGTATATAATGCTTCTATTAACTTTTTGAGTAACTGTAATTTTTTAATTTTTAGATCCAACATTAAATAGTAAATTTTATTTTATTTTTATGGGTGCATAGTAGGTATATATCTTAATGGGGTACATGAGATATTTTTATACAGACATACAATATGTAACAATCACATCAGGGTAAATGGGTCATCTATCACCTCAAGCACTTATCGTTTGTGTTATAAACATTCCAATTATAATCTTAGTTATTTTACAATCTACAATCAATTATTGTTGACTGTAGTCACCCTCTTGTGCTTTTAAATATTAGATCTTATTCTATTTTTGTACTCATTAACTGTCCACACTCCCTCCACCCTCAAGGCACTATCCATCCTAGGCTCTGGCAACTATTATTCCAAAGAAATAGAATAGAAATAGAAATCCTTGGGAAAATGATTAATTTCAGGAGTGGGACAGGGAAACTGTAAGATGAACCCAGGGCATCTTGTAGTGCCAGAAATTAAGGAAGAGCCCAAACACAAAAGAATGGGAACAAGTCAAAAGTACTCAGAAGCCAATCTGAAAGAGCTTGCTATGGCCAAAGCTGGAGTATTTGAGCAAAATAATAAACAATGCAAGTTTGATCATAACCCAAAGTATGAAATAAATATTCATGAGCCTATACTAATATAAATAAATTGAGACTAAACCAAGGAGGAAAAGAGACAAATTATCATTACAGAAGAGCTCCAAATAATATATGTAGACCTCCCCCCAACTCTAGGAAGCGAAGCTTAGCACCTCACCCCTTCCCCACCCTAGAGTGTGGGCTGGACTGTGGCTAGTGAAGAAGACAGCATGAAAAGGGAAAAAAAGACAGTGGAGAGACCTGGCCAACTTGAACTTGGCCAGGTGATTACAATTAACATCAATAACAAGTCTTGTTGGTAGCCTGTAATGGCAGATATTACATGATGAGGAGGATATTTTGCCTCTGTGGTATTCCTTCTGAAAATCTATGAACCCAATATAACCATAAGATAAAATATCTGGCAAATTCAAATTGACAGACTACAAAATACTTCAACAGCTCTCTTTAGAACTGTCAAGATCATGATAAACAAGACTGAACAACTATCTCAGACCATAGATGGATAAAAGGACATGATGCTTAAATGTAATGTGTACCATGAATAGGGTTCTAGAAAAAAACACTTTAGTGATAAAACTAGTGAAATCCAAAGGAAGTTTGGAATTTGACTAATAGTGATGTACCAATGTTAATCTCTTAATGTTGATGGACGCATCATTTGGATAGGATAATTGGGGCTGATGGGTGGGAAGTGGCAGGATGGGCCCTTCTGAGCACAGCACCCTATGTGACTATACTCGCTGTAGACCCATGAAGTTGATCCCGGGTTGGAGATTCTTGGATGATTAATCAGAATTAGGAGGGGTCTTTGGCCTATGGATTTTCATCTATAACACCAAATAGAGGCTAGCGGTGACTGAAGACACAATGAAATTAAATTTTAGTGATCAATCCTATGGAAAGTGTAATGGTCAGTTTGTTGGAAATACTATTGGCAGTTTTACCAGTCAGGAAATTGACAGCCTTAGGAAGAAAAGGGTAGAGTGGAAAATAACAGAACACTGTGCTTTCCTTGCCTTAAACTATTTGACTATGTTAAGCATTAATTCTAAATGCAAGTACCAATCCAAACACCATCTTCCAGCATTCATTTCTAGCTAACAGATTTACCTAAAAGAGTCTTGATCTTATAGGCACAGACCTTGCTATAGCATTTTTTTTATGAGCCCTTTTTATAGAGTTTGAAATAAGCTCATTAGGACTGTGATTGTTGCTACCATATATTTTACTGCTCAGGCCTTTAAAATCTACTTCTGCCAGCCTTACCAACATGGCAAAACCCTGTTTCTACATGAAATACAAAAATTAGCTGGTGTGGCGGCATACACCTTTAATTCCAGTTATTTGGGAGGTTGAGGCAGGAGAATCACTTGAACCCAGGAGGCAGAGGCTGCAGTGAGCCAAGATCACACCACTGCACTCCAACCTGAGCGACAGAGTGAGACCCTGTTTCCAAACAATAATTAAATAAATAAAATCTACTTCCATTTTTTTCTTCAGGCAGTTTTTAACCTGGTGTGAACTCTGTCTTTCCAGGTACCTCCAGATCATCAGTCACTCGATGTAAACCAGGAGCCAACTGCCCCAGTTCACACAGTGGCATCAGTAGACAACTGTCCCCACTATCTGTCACCGAAGATTCCTCTGCTCCTATTCTTGAACTTCAGAACCGAGGATCCTCAGGAGTTTGTGGACACAGAGTTGAGAGACAAAACAGATCAGGTATGTGGATGACTTCCTCTTAAATAATGGTACATCCTGGTAAGCTTCTAAAGAGCCATGAAAGATCTCACCATTGTCACAGAATGTTACATGGACTCTTATGAGTGCATATGGAGAAGCTTTATCAAGCCAGAGGATAAGGAAGAAGGGAAATGTATAGTTACAATCTATTAGTGATGTACAGCATGGCAGAGAAACAATACCAAAACCTGTTATAGGTAGGTAGGCGGGATTTCTGGTGAGCAGGCTGGATGAGGCAATGCGCCATTGGGCAGATTTTGGTGGGGCTTCTTTTAAATTTTGGCAGGGCTTTCCAATGGCTGGCTAGGTGCCGAGTGCAGAGGTGGGTGTGGTGAAGCTAGATGCTGAGTGGTGATGTAATTTTCAGGCGGGGAGAGGGATGGGCATGTCCAAGCTCCCTGCGAGGCAACCAGCCTTACATTCTGACCCTTTTGATGATATAGGACGCTGCTTCTTTCTGGCTACTTCCTGCTGAATACGGCAGAGTGAGGTGGAGGGGTCAGTTGGCTGGTGCCTTGATTGGGAGTCAGATATAGGGTTGAAGTATTATCTGGTTTATGGCCACCCTGGAAATTTCTCTCATGCAGGCCTGTAAAAACTTGAGGAAAAAAGGGGCTAGTATTAGTAGAAGACACATAACGATAACAGGGGTGATAATGGGAGCTAGCTAAGTAAGCATGGGGGATTGCCACTAGTTGAGAGATAAGGCTGGTGCACTTTGCTTCTTGCGGAGGTTCTCTTGGAGGCGATAAAGAGTGTTGACATTTTCTTCTACAAGGCTTGTTTTGTTGACGTAATAGCAGCACTGCTTCTGGAGAAACAGACAGGTACTTCCTTTTTCTGCCATTAGTAAGTCTAGGACCCATTTGGTTTTGGAGAGTCACCTGAGCCAGCGACGTGATTTGTCACTGGAGGGAGGCTAAAGAGGTGGCTGACGCTTTAATAGCCACACGGAGCTTGTCTTCCAGTTGAGTGGCTGAAGTGACACTGTAGCCTATGGCACCACTCCCTATTCCAGCTGCTACTAGAGAGGATGCTAAAGAGAGGCCAACTACTATTGGGAGGAAGACTGCTTGTTTAGGGGACGGTGTGATGAGGGATAGGAACTCAGCTTGTCCATACACTTCTAACTGCGGGACTAGATGGGCACACAGGGGAAAGAGAGGGATGCATTAATAACTTTGGTTAGGGTTCTATTACACTAAAAGTATCCCCCTGGAGGCGCATAAAGGGAGGATTTTACTTCTACTGTGGTGTTGCACCTGAGGCTGGGTCTGCTGGCTGTCCCATAGCAGAGAGAGAGATTTTGAGAATATACATTGAACAGCGGGATACCCTTTAAGATGGTGTCAGGCCCCACGGGAGATTGTGACAGGTTGAACCCGGTCTGGAGGGGAACTGCAGCTAAGGGGGGTTTGTTAAGGAAGGTGCATAAAAAGCAGTTGGTGAAATTTGTGGCCCCGGTTAAATTTAACATGTTAGCCCATTGCTGTACTAGAGTTAGCCATGAGAAAGGCTGGGGGGCGCTGTTTGAGGGCCTGGGTTGGATTGAGGGGTTAAGTTGGTTAGTTAAAAAAGCCTCATTTTGTAAGATGGAATTCCTTAACGAATTGAGTTGTTTTACTTCTATGGGTACGATCTGCGTATAGGCCCGGAATATTAGCCAGGTACTGCTGGTGCGGCTGTCTGTAAACCTAGTGTATATATTTTACCTGCCGTACACCTTTTCTAGTGGGCGTCCCAGGGATTATTGATAATAAGGGACACTTTACATTGGTTGTTGGCGAGAGTATTCTACTTTTTGGGGTGGTGTCAGTTCTGAAGGTTGTGTGTATAACAAACACAAGAAGTGTACGGGCATCCACCGTAAGTATTGTTTTTCGAATGACAGGAGTCTTTGGTTTGGTCATATAAAAAGCAGAGGCCAAAGTTATTCCAGGAGTTTTTGATAGTATTGGACTTGGATTTTGGGAATTTAAATTTTATGGCTGATTGGCAGTCTGCGGGCTGGCAATCTGCTTGGGCAAGGTATTGGGTTTTAGTGGTGGAGGCTTCTGTCCAGGACTCCTGAAGGTAGAACCGCCAGACATAGTAGGAGTTGGCTTTAAGAGGGGATACCAGAAGGATTGTTAGGAGGAGAATTTGAAGTGTTAGAAGTTGACGGGTAGGGGTTATGGGTGAGGCGGAGGCGAGTGGGGCCCAAGGGTTCAGATTTCCACCGATTATTTTTGGGAGCCAGTTTGAGGCGGGACACATGGTACCAAGGGATGTGGCCAAAAAGTTGTGCAGCAGTCGGGGTGATTAGGATAATGATGTGGGGTCCCGACCACCTGGGCTGCAGAGACCCTGGCTTGAGTTTCCGGAGGAGGACACTGTTATCTGGCTGGAGAGGTATAGTCGAGTGGGAGTCCTCTGGTCCCAGAACCATGGGGAGAGTACGGTCTGCGTGTTCCCCTGAGTAAGTGGTGGAGGAGAGAGAGGTAGGGAAGGTAGGAAGCCAGAGGAGGTGGTTGTACTGGGAGATTCTGAGAAACAAGAAAAGGCCTGCTGTACAGCAACTCAAAGGGGCTGAGACCCGTTGGCCTCCAAGGGGTGGCTTGAACCTGGGCTAGTGCAAGAGGTAGGAGTGTGAGCCAAGAGAGTTTTGCCTCTGTGGTGAGTTTGGCCAAATGATTTTTGAGGATGTCATGAGCCCGTTCAACCTTACCCGACTACTGAGGGTGGTAGGGGATGTGTAGTTTCTAGGAGATGTTGAGAGAGTTGGCGACCAGCTGGACCACCTGAGCTGTAAACACTGGACCTTTGTCTGACTGGATGTTTCTAGGCACGCCAAAACAAGGGATAATTTCCTGAATTAAGAGGGAGGCCACCATGTCTGCGCTTTCCTTGGAGGTAGGAAAGGCATCAATCTATCCAGAAAAGGTATCTACAAAGGTTAGGAGGTAGCGAAGTTTTTTGTGAGTGGGTATATGGGTAAAATCAATCTGCCAGTCTTGGGCTGGCAGGTGGCCACACATTTGGTGGGTAGGAAACTGTGGCCTTAAGCCTCCCTGAGATGAGACTTTAGAGCAGGTAACGCATACTTTGTATACTTGCTCAATCGTCTGTTGCAGACCTGGCAAGAAAAAGAGGTGCTGCATGAAACGGCGCAACGCTTTGGGCCCTATATGTAAGGATTGGTGGATTTTAGCAATAATTTTTGGGGCCTGTTCCCAGGGAAGGGCGATTTTGTTGTTTAGGAAGATCTAACCCTGATTAGACTCGGTTCCCCTTTTTAATATGAGGTTCTGTTTCTCTGATGGCGAGTAAATCGGCAGCATCGCTGTGGTGAGAAACAGGACTGGAAGGGGGGCTAGTTTGGTACTGGTTAAGGATTTTGCTGCCATATCTGCCCTAGCATTTTCCCGGGAAACAGCATCTTGCTGGGCTCAGTGCCTTCAGCAGTGGATGACAGTGACTTCTTTGGGCAGTGATAGGGCCTGTAGGAGATTAGAGATTTGGGTAGTGTTAATTATGGGGGACCCTTTCATAGTAAGGAATCCCCGCTCTCTCCAGAGGGCAGCGTGGCAATGGGTAATAAGAAAAGCATACTTTGAATCAGTATAGATATTCGCTCTCTTTCCCTGTGCTAGGGTGAGAGCTTGGGTTAAGGCAATGAGCTCTGCTTTTTGTGAGGTGGTTCCATTGGGGAGGCGACATGCCTCAAAGGTGGCTAAATCAGTGACTACTGCATAGGCGGCTTTTTGCCACCCCCTGGCTGTCACTATTGAACTCCCATCTACATAAAAGGTAAGGTCTGGGTTAGGTAGGGGGAGGTTAAACAAGACGTCTCAAGGTTTAGTAAGTGCCTCCATTAGTTTAGGACAGGGATGGGCTGGGGAGGGACAATGGGATGGAAGGGGAAACAAAGTGGCTGGGTTGAGTGGAGAAGTGGGATGAAGGCTGACTGTAGGATTTTCAATAAAGAGTAGATGGAATTCCTATAGGCGAGAGGGTCTTAGGTGAGTGAGGGATTTGTGAGAGGGAAGGTTGGTTAGCTGATGGGGAGAAAACACTGAGATGGGCTGGCCTAAGGTAAGTTTTAGGGATTCCTTGATGAGTTCTGTTGCCACCTCCAGGGCTTGCAGGCAAGGCTGCTATCCCCTGACCATGGAGTTGAGTTGTTTTGATAAGTAGGCTACTGGATGATACACAGGGCCTAGGAGTTTGGTTAAGACCCCAACTGCGATCCCCTGTTTTGCATTAGTGAACAAATGGAAGGGGCGGCTGAGATCTGGCAGTTGGAGCTAAGGTGCTGTGGATAAGGCAGTTTGTAGGGTTTTAAAAGCCTGCTTTACTACCCCAGGATAGAATAAGTGTCCCCTGGGTGTGTTTTTAGCAGCTGCATACAGAGGTTTAGCTAGGCAGGCAAAATTAGGCATCTAGTGGTGGAAGAATCCTACCAGCCCTAAAAAGGAAAGAATTTGGTCAGCCGTCTTTGGAGGCTGTAGCGAAAGGAGTGCCTTTTGTGGATTTGTTGTTAGGCTTTTAGTTGTAGGGGTGAGGCGAATGCCTAAGTAGACTACCGAGGTGACTGAAAACTGTGCCTTGGAAGGAGATACCCAGTACCCTTGAGATCCCAGAAAGTTAAGGAGAGTGGTGGTGTGCTGCTGAGACAGGGAGAGGGAGGGGCTACAAAGTAACAGGTCATTCACATACTGAAAAAGGAGACTGGGTTGAAGGGGACAGGAGCTAAGATCAGCTGCTAAGTCTTGTCCAAAAATACTGTGGCTGTCTCTGAATCCCTGGGCAGGACCGTCCAGGTAAGCTGTTGCGACAGGTTGGTGTCTGGATCAGTCCAGGTGAAGGCAAAGAGAAAGTAAGACTCAGGGTGTAGGGGAATGGTAAAGAAGGCATCCTTGAGGTCAAGAACTGTAAAATGGGAGGTAGTGGAGGGAATGCTGGATAATAGGGTGTATGGGTTGGGGACTACAGGGTGG